TTCATCATCAACGGTGCTACATCTGCATGAGATGATTTGTTTATGTGACTTCTCGATTGAATCTATGAAATGAGTAGCATTCTGAGCTTCAGATTAGAGCTAGCTTAGATTTTCGTTTAGTTTTTTCCATCTACTAGGCAAGAGTTGTAAACTTGTAAAAAGCCTTTGATCAAAGCATATAAATGAAATCTTTACCATTTTTTGTTGTCTTTAGAAAATGGATAGCAAAATTCTTTATCATCTGTTAAATGACAGTGTATCTTTTTATTACAACCGTGGTGCCTGGACATCTTGTGCACTCGACTACTCCCCTAGGAAATCTGTGATACCCACAAGCACAAGTATTGGGTAAACCTGGCCACGATAATTGGAGCTATGCGCTCACATTTAGTGTTGTAATTTAGAATTTAAGATCTTCTCTGCTTTCCAGGAAAAGCTAGTATTAGTAGTCAGAGGGAGATAATAGACTGATAACAGACTTCTTAAATTAAAAAACATTTTTCTTGTCACATGCTACACGGGGAAAAGATATCGAATAAGATAGAAGCTAACATAACAACCAGATCAAGCACACCATTAGCTTGAATTAATTGTATAAAGAGTTTTAATAATCGAAGAAGTAAATGTAGAAAGTGACCACCGTTCATGAAAAACTTTCAGGCAGAATAAACCTAGTCGAAACCAGCACCCAAGAATATCCTTTTGTTATATCAGCATCCAATAAACTTAAGATATACAATCTAGGCTTAAGTTTAAAAATCAAATTAATAGTTTTTGATATGTCGGAATCAATGATTGAATATTGGATGCATATAGCAACCTGCATAAAAATAGTGTCCGGATAATTTGTAATGACCTCATAATCACATGTACCTGTACATATAGGACATGTGCTCTTGAGGAGAACTGTCAATAAGGATAAGCGCAAATTGGTAGGACAGATATTTCAGGATGAGCAACAAATTATTCATTGTGACAGCAAGAAATGATCCAATCTTGATTGAGTCATTGAGGGCCAAAAAAGAGATATTCCACAGTGCCTGAAACAGAAAACTGCGGGTGAGTGGAGTCGTAAATAAGCCGAGGGTCACTGCTAGCTTCATCACCAATGTATTTTGAAGCATTGTTTTGGTACAAGTATAGAATGAGGAAGATAGAGCAGTGGTTTGCAGTTCTGAAGCTAAATGCATAAATAGCCTGCATATAGTTAATAGGCGAATGGAAAGCCAACTCGACAGCAGTGACCTCAAGCCACTTAGAGATGAACTTATTACATTTCAAATGAACCAATCTTAATTGAACAAAAATGAACATAAAGTGGAATTATTTCTTTTCTTTATTTTGCAAACAATAGATAGCATTCTGTACCACCTTTTCCAACTTTTAAGCTCCTTCTCTACCAGGAATTTATTAACCATGCTACTAAGTAATACTGCTTTCTCATTGTAAATCCTGCCGTTTTACTACATTCATACTGTTAATGAAAACAATATAATTTAATATTTTTACGCGGTGGGCTATGCTTGGTCCCAGGTTCAAGACATTAATGTGCGATTTGCTTAAAAATGTTGTGGAAGGTTAGGATTGCAGTCAACAAACTCAAATGGTTGATTTCTAAGTATTCTCAAAACCTTTTGATAACTATCTAAACCTCATATTATTTATATGAATTAGAGAAGCAGCTGCGGAGAAAATGGTTGCATTCAAGTACTACAACTAAACAACAAAGGCCCCAAATATATGCCTCATGATTAAATCTATCTGAAATCTGAAAAGATAAGAGTAGCAAAAACATTAAATTATCAAATAGAAAAAGAAATAATCGACGAAACAACTGAGTCTACGTAGAGGTACGCGGGTTTGAGCAGGAAACTATATGCTAGGCCATATATGTGTTGTTAAATCAAAAGAAAATTCTTCTATCTTAGAGCATCAAGTTGAGGATGCTTTGTTAGAGTGAATTTTGGTCCCACACTATTTGGTTACTACTAAAAATAAATCAAGTAACTCCTCCAACCAATCCCTATAAATAAGAATATAAGTCAGCGAACTCATTTGCAAAAACCATAGGCATATTTCTTCAAGCTACATATCACTTAAAGCTAGTTTTCAATTTCTTGCAGCATTCATACCAGCTAAAGGTTGAAGAGAAGTTCATCGACATGAGGATTCATCTCAAGACAATCTTTGATCATGCTAAACACAACATTTTTCTCCACCAAAGATCAACTGCAACCACTTCGTCAAAGTTGACGGATGCTACTGCTAGCATGGGCGGAGCCAGGGTGGCGGAAGGTGTTCCAACCGAACCCCCTTTGCTGAAAAATTACACTTTGTATATAAGTTTAAAGTTCTTTTTGTACATATTAGCTGCTGAATCCCTTATTTCTTTATTTTTTGAATCCCCTAGGTGAAAGCTCTGCTTCCGCCACTCTCTGCTAGAACTCGGAGGGAGATAATAGATTGATGAAAGACTTGTTAGTGTACGAAAAGTTCTTTTTGCCACAGGCTACACATGAAAAATATAGTGTAATAAGATGGTGGAAATTAATAGACCACCAAATCAAGCACAATTACATTGATAGCAATATTTTAAGCTAATGTTGAAAATAATAACAGTTCATGAAGAATTTTCTGTTCAAATAAACCTAGTTGGAAAAACCAGAATCCAACTATATCTTTTTCTATCAATATCAGCATCCAAGAATCTTAAGATACACAATTTAGGCTTGACTAAGTAATCAAATTAATAGTGTTCTTCTTTTTGTAATTAAAGAAGCAGCAGGTAGGTTAAGATGATCATTTAATTTGTAGAGAATCTTCATTAATTTGTCAGTAAATCAAGAAATAAGTGAAACACCAGTAACTAAACCAGCTCAACCTCATACAGAAAATTTAAGGCATCAAAATTTGATGATGTATCTTAAGATGAGCCAAAGCAGATCTGCATCTGCTTATTACATTTTTAGTACAAAGCAGATTTTTATCACTATGCACAACATTAAATGATGAATCACGTCGGTGAAGTCACATATGGACAGTAACAACTTGTTATCAATGATTGAATATTGAATGCATATAACAACCTGCACCAAAATATTACCTCATAATCACATGTAGTTGTACAGATAGGACATGTACCCAAAATTGGTAGGGCAGTTATGTCACGATGAGAAACTACTTATCCATTTTGACAGCAGGAAATGAACCAATCTTAATTGAATTATATTGAGGGACAAAAGGGATATTTCACAATGTTCGAAATAGAAAACTGCAGGTGATTGGAGTTGTAAAGTAAGCCTAGGGGCACTACTGGCCGTATCACCAATATATTCTCAAGCAGTATTCAGTTACTAGTAGAAAATGAGGAAGAGAGATCAGTGATTTGCAGTTCTGAAGATAGATACATTTGCACATAGTTAAGAGGCTAATGGAAATCCAGTTGCGCACGCAGCAGTGACCTGCGACCACTAATAAATGAACTTATGACACTGCGATTAAATTGTGGTCTCTTAGCTACTAGACTATCCATTGGCGATGAATCTCCTGTACAATTATTCCTGCTTTCTCATGGTACAATATAGTTTAATATTTCTAAGTGATGTAGCTATGCATGGTCCCAGGACCAAGATATGGCAGCCCGGTGCACTAAGCTCCCGCTATGCGCGGGAGAAGGGCCGGACCACAAGGGTCTATTATACGCAGGCTTACCCTGCATTTCTGCAAGAGGCAAGATATGATTTTCTTAAAAAGTTGTGGAAGGTTGGGATTCCTGTCGACTATATCATTTATTGGTACTTCAAAGTCTTCTCAACACCTTATGGTAACTATCAAAAAAACCATATTAGGTGACTTAGTATTGTGCTTGTATGAAACTTCTATCAAAGACCAACAAGGGCTGCTGGTCTGCAAATACAATGAACTATGGCACAACAGAAACTAGAGAAGCAGCCGGGAAAAAAATAGTTGCATTCAAGCACTACAACCAAACAACAAAGGTCCCAAATATGTCTCATGGGAACATGTCCTTCAGTAGCAAAAATTATCCAATAAAAAAAAATAATAAAGAAATAACTGAGTCAACGTCAAAGTACACGGTTTTGAGCGCGGGGAAACTATGTGCTATGCTATAAATATATAGTTAACTAAAAAATTCTTCTATCTTACTGCAACAAGTTGGGAAGCAAACAGAGCTTTCTTCCACAATAATGTAAAGCAATTGAGTCCACTGTCATGCTTTGTTAGGGTGAAGTTTGGTCCCACACTGTTGGGATACTACTAAAAATAAACCAAGTAACTCCTCCAACCAATCCCTATATATAAAAATATAAGTCAGAGAACTCATTTGCAAAAACCATAAGCCTATTTCTTCACACTACATATTACTTAAAGCTTGTTTTCAATTACTTGCAGCATTCTTACCAGCTAAAAGTTGAATAGAAGTTCATCGACATGAGGATTCATCTGAAGACAATCCTTCAGCATGCTAAAAGGAATATTCTTCTCCACCAAAGAACAACTAAAACCACTTCATCAAAGTTGGAAGATGTTCCCAAGGGTCACATGGCAGTTTATGTTGGAGAGAGCCATAATAATAAGCATCGATTCGTGGTTCCTATCTCTTGTTTAAAGCATCCTTTGTTTCAAGACTTGTTGAGGCATGCAGAGGAAGAATACAGATTCGATTATCCAATGGGCGGCCTAACTATACCATGTAGTGAGACTGCATTTCTGTGTGTCACTTCTCACTTAAATGTCATTACCAATTAACAAAGGAGGATTACGAGTCTAGTTCTTACCATCAAGTATATTGTAGGTTAGAAGTTTACTAGTTCATAGATTACAGAAGTCCCCAATTTACCTAGACATTGAATATATTTTATCATAATATCACAGTTGTTTTAAGCCGATGCATTGCTTCTCAGCATCTCATTATCCTCAATTCCCTACTATTATTACTAATAGTGTAAGTAACGGATTAACATTGCCAAGTCACTTTCATGTAATCAGCTGCAACAAAAATCCTGCAGAGTGAAAAGCTTGTAAGCAATCATTTGGACATTGGAATCATGCAGCATTTACACCAAAAAGGAAAAGATATAACAGGAGTATTTGACATTTTGACACTCGCCAAATAGTGACTTCATCTCAAGGCATTTATTCATGCTAACAGAATTGTTGCCTATTTTACACTTGCCATACCATTGTCTGCCTTGGTTAAAACTCTGCCTTTTTTAGCCCGTCGCTACTAAAATCTCCTTATCCAGACGAGATTACCTAATCCTACAATACCTGCATACCACTTAACCGATTTTATGAATTAAGATATCTGTGAATGAAACTTAAAAGCTTACTGTTAAATCTTACCAATTGTAAAGTCTCGAGACAAACTTACCATTCTCAGCACCCTAGGCAAGTACATATAAGGTTGCAAAAAACTAATATCTTTCTAAATTCTTGTGCATATAGTATTAACATTGTTCAAAAACTCCAAGCCAGTGCATCAGCAAAAGTCTTAGAAGTAACAGAAGCTTATTTATAGTAAAGTATGGAGGTCACATGGTGTCCGCGTGGTGATTTTGATATTCGGGTCCTCTATCACATAGTAATGTTATGAAAGTCCGTTGTACGGCTAGCTATTCCCGATGCATTAGTAATATTATCAGAACAAGCAATGCAGTACCTTTATAGGGATGGGCGATGTTCTTTAGCCACTTGACCACTTCTCCCTGATACATTCACAGGTATAAGAAATTACTGCATTTTTTATTGAGCTTTGTGATCAAAGCCATGTGAGGCAACCCCCCACAAAATCACAAGACCCATAGGCCATAACAACGGCTGCTGGTGGTTGACAGTATTCTTTTCTTTATTATGACGATGGTGTTTGAGCCATCTTGCGTACACCTGGACTAAGCCTATGGTCACAAGTAAATGTGTTGCATAAACCTGCCACCAAGATTGGAGATGGAATTTGAATTTAGGATCTCCAAGTTAGGGATGAAATGATCGTGTATTCTTCTCCACTAGCAACTGATCTTGATTGATCTGTCAGTAAATAGAGAAATTAGGGAAACATCAGCATAAGCTAAACAAGCTCAATCTCATACAGCATCAAAATCTGATGCTGTATTTTAAGAAAAGCCAAAGAAAATCCATCTATTACACTTTTAGTACGAAGCAAATCTTGTCACCCTATACAAGATTAAATGCATGAATAAGATGTCTTTTAAAGTCAAATATGGACAGTTAACTAAATATCTATAGAAAGACAAACTTGTACCAATGATTGGATAATGGAAGAATATAACAACCTGCACCAAAACAGTACCCGGATAAATTAAAATGGCCTCATAATCACAGGTAGTTTGTACCTATAGGACAAGTGCTCTTCAGAAGAAATGCAGAAAAGGACATATCCAAACTGGTAGGGCAGATATGTCAGGATAAGCTACTAATTATTCATTTTCACAGCAGCAAAATAAACCAATCTTAATTGAATTATAATGAGGGCTAAAAACAGATACTATTTCACAATGCCAAATTTAAATAGAAAACTGTGGATGAGTGGAATTATGAAATACGCCGAGGGGCACTGCTAGCTTCATTACCAATGTATTCTGAAGCATTATTCCGAAAATAGTACAACTTAATAAAATGATTTATAGTATCTATGGCGTGTTTTAGTCTTTATTTCTTAAACTCTGCGATCAGTCAGTGCATCAGATAAAATGAGACGAAGAGAGTAACTTTTAATTAGCTTTAAGTGACCTGATAATGTAAATAATTTTCTTTATAACTATATAAAAGTTAAATCCTTATCAAAGTTGAAGGCAATTACACCAAAATGTCTATAAACAACCTAACTGGGATTGTGAATAAATACCTTTCCTAGTTTTGAGTAATGGATTTGAAGCTCGTGTCATTGCGTCCGCGTGCAGTGCATTTTTCTTTAAAGTGCAAGTGTGGAACCAATCACATGATCTGCCGCAATATTTCTGTTTTACGACTGCCCTTTTTTGTGGCATAATCAAGATTGAAATTATAGCAGCTCAAAATGCAGTTACTTGCATAAGGACAAGTGAAGCCTTTTAAATCTTGTTAGAGTGAATGCATTATTTTCAGGAATTAGGGATATAGCTTCTAGTACAACTTTTTTCTTTTCTTATCAGCTATGTGTCTGAGCTTAGCCATGTGACCAATCATAACCAAAGTTCCAATCCTTTTAACTCTCTCCCATTTAATGTGATACATTTTTTAAAGATTTTTGGAATAACACATTTATCTTTTTGGAAACTCTAACTACCACTTATTTTAAAAGCTAATTTTGGTATTATTTTTATATATTTGACTTACATGTGCCATACGATGAAAGTGTGGGAGAGGGTGATTGAAGGGAGGTTGAGGAGGTGTGTGTCCATTTTCGAGAACCAGTTTGGTTTCATGCCGGGACGGTCGACCACTGAGGCCATTCATATTGTGAGGAGATTGGTGGAGCAGTTTAGGGCGGTGAAGAAGGATTTGCGCATGGTGTTTATTGACCTGGAGAAGGCCTATGACAAAGTCCCCAGAGAGGTTCTATGGAGATGTTTGGAGGCTAGAGGAGTGCCTGTAGCGTATATTAGAGTGATTCAGGACATGTATGATGGAGCTAAGACACGGATTAGGACAGCAGGTGGAGACTCGGATTACTTTCCGGTTGAGATGGGGTTGCATCAGGGATCAACACTTAGCCCGTTTTTGTTTTCCCTGGCGATGGATTCTTTGACACGTCACATTCAGGGGGAGGTGCCTTGGTGCTTGCTATTTGCGGATGACATAGTCCTGATTGGTGAGACGCGAGGTGGCGTTGACGAGAGGCTGGAGGTCTGGAGACATACCCTGGAGTCTAAGGGTTTCAAGTTGAGCAAGAGCAAGACAGAATACTTGGAGTGCAAGTTCAGTGGTGTTACCCAGGAGGCGGACGGGGATGTGAAACTCGATACATAAGTCATTTCCAGGAGAGAGAGTTTCAAGTATCTGGGATCTATAATTCAGAAGGATGGGGAGATAGATGAGGATGTCACACACCGTATCGGAGCAGGGTGGATGAAGTGGAGGCTCGCTTCCGGTGTCTTGTGTGATAAGAATGTGCCGTTGAGACTTAAGGGTAAGTTCTATAAGGTAGTTGTAGACCGACTATGTTGTATGGGACAGAGTGTTGGCCAGTCAAAACCTCTCATGTCCAGCAGATGAGGTAGCGAAAATGAGAATGTTGAGATGGATGTGTGTGTGCATACTAGGTTGGATAGATCGAATTAGGAATGAAGTTATTCGAGACAAGGTGGGAGTGGCCCCTGTGGAGGCAAAGATGCGTGAGGCAAGGTTGAGATGGTTCGGGCATGTTAAGAGGAGAAGCGCAGATGCCCCTGTCAGGAGATGTGAGAGGTTGGCCTTAGGAGGTGTGAGGAGGGGTAGAGGTAGGCCAAAGAAGTCTTGGGAAGAGGTGATCAGGCGGGACATGACGCCACTTGAGCTAACCGAGGACATGACTCTAGATAGAAGGGTGTGGAGGTTGAAGATTAGGGTAGAAGGTTAGTAGGTAGTCGTGCATCTCCCTTTGTCTTCTCTAGCTCGATAGTATTAGCGGTACCCTTTTTTTCCTTAGTTTTCTATATTCCCATGTCTCGTTTCGTTGTTACTTGCCATTGGTAATTCCGTACTTTGCTAGCAGTACTTCGTTCATATTCTCGTCTGCTGCCTTGGAATTAGTTTTCTAAATATGTTATCTTGCTGCTACTTGTTATCAGTACCCCTTTCATATTATCTGTTGCTATCTCCGATTTAGTTTTCTAATAATTGTTTTGCTATTACTTGCTACCAGGGCTTCTCTCACTTTCTTTAGCCGAGGGTCTATCGGAAACAGTCTCTCTACCCTTCCAGGGTAGGGGTAAGGCTGCGTACATCCTACCCTCCACAGACCCCATACTTGTGGGACCACACTGGGTTGTTGTTGTTGTATATTTGACTTACATGTCAAAAGTATTTTAATTTCTTAAATTCAATGCTCAGTCAAATACCTTCACATGAAATGAGAGGGAATATAAATAACCAAGAGGTCAAGTGGTGTTCGACACCATTTCCAGATGTTCTGGTTGGTGGCTTCTGATATACACATCCTCTCATCACATCACATGGTAATGTTTTGAATGTTCTTGTTGTAGCTATATATGCAATAACTTCAAAGGAATGTGCCAGGTTCTTTAGCCACTTGAATTGAACACTTCACGCTGAATTATATGCAAGCAACTCTATAAATATAACCTTTTCCTGGTGCAAATTTCACAACAAATTCCAGATCAAACACAAATCTATATCAATCTAAACAAGTCCTACTTCAATAAAAAAATTATCAAACCTCCAATACTTGACATATCAAGAAGTCATGTGTTCCGTTTGTTAC